GAAGGCAATATGTGCTGTGGAAAGAAAGAAAAATGGAGTAGTAGGTAGGGGCTGGCTGTGATGGTGCCCTGAAAAGGGAGGGGACGTCACCAAGACAAGACGGCAGCAAAGATGTGAAACGGGGAGGTCTGGGGACGTGTGCAGGATTTTAAGTAGAGACATATGTAGCGTTGACCTGTGTTTTCCAAAGTCTGCTAGGCTTGGAAGCAGACCTTGGAAGTGTCCACAGTAAGCTGAAAGGCACAGGGCAAGGGCAGGGGCAGTCAGAGGATGACTCGGACAGACCGGGCTGCTTCCAGGAGGTGGCGGTGGAGGTGGGGAGAAGGTGCCTGGAGAACCTGGAATGAGACTCCACAGTAACAGCGAGAAGGGAATGATTAACTCTGACTAGGGACAAGTTCCCAGGAGAGATGACTCAAGCAGGATCTTGAAAAATGAGAAGTGCAGCAGGCACTCCAGAGAGCCAGAGCATTCCAGCACCGTGCGTGACAGGCCCAGGCACCAGGAGCCAGGTCTGGGTGGGAGGCAGCTCAGGGGCTAGAGCAGGAGGCCCAGGAGGGTGGCCAGAGGAGGAAGGTGCTGGCCCTCTGCTGCAGGGTGTCAGCCCATGGCAGCTCGTGAAGGGTTTTTGACCTGGGTCTGGGAGTCATAAGCCCCGCCAGCTGGTTAAGGCAGGTCTTCTGGTCACCAAGAAGGGGCTGAAGGCAGGTGGAGAGAGGAGAACCAGGTGGGGAGGGCATGGACACCTGCCCCAATGCAGCGGAGAGACATTTAGATCATGTGGAAGACCAGTGCACGTGGGATTAGTGGAAAGAGGAGTGGGCCCTTTAGGAGAAGAGGATGAATGGGTTCTGGATGGACTGCATTGGAGGTGTCTCTGGGAAACCAGACAGAGAGGTCCAGAAGCAGCTGATGTGTGTGTTGGGGGCAGCGGGGGTAGAGCTCAACAGAGGGATGCAAGCCCAGAGCCCCATCTGAGAGCCTCCAGGGACAGGAGCAGTTCGTGCTGTAGGAGTCCATAGCCAGGGGACATCTCCAGGTTTTTGTCTTGAGGAAGATCTGAATGGAGGTCTAGCTCCTTGCCTCATTGCCTCAGTCCTGAGGCCTTTGAGAGAGAGGGTTGGAAAAATACTTCTGAGAGTGAACAGGAAGGATCTCTTTGGGTAATTCTGAGAAACTACAGACTAGGGCCCCTTGACCGGGTCCCAGTTCAGACTCAAGCTGTGTGTGCCTGGTAGGAGGAGGTCTTCAGAAAAGTCATGGAAAATGCAGATTATCACAAAACTACACATGGATTTTTTTTTTTTTTTTTACCAAAATTAGATAGTACTATACCATTTTTCCATAGATTTTTTTTAAAGTCCTCTTGTCTATCCAGGGGTCTTGGTATTGGCGTATCTTACGGGTCTCTGCATACAAATGTGTGCTTCAGGTATGCGTATGTTGTGAAATAGCGTTTATGAAAGAGTAAGGTGATATATTTTCTTTCCTCTTTTCCCCCCCCCAGAATTATTTATAGGCCAACAAGTGGCAAGGTGGTTAGGGTGGCTGGATTCCTACCTGGCTGACTGCGATTTGAGTCCTAGTCCCAGTGGCTCGAAAATCATGCCAGGCACATGTACATGCATACCCAAAATCCCAAGAGGAGAATGGAGGAGGAGGGATTGCAGTGTGGCCATTCCCCTTGTAGGGGAGTTATTTCTCACTTTCTCTCTCTCTCTGTCTCTCTCCTCTCCAGTGAGTGGCATGTGCCCTATGGCAAAAACCTTTAAAAAGTTATTTATTTAATTTTATTCATTATCATTATCTTACCTAATATTGCTATAGGGCATGTGTGCCCACCAAAGAGAGGGAAAGTGAGAATGCAAGCTGCCAGGCCTGGGATCCAAACCATGGTTGGCCATATGGTAATCCAGTTCCCCAACCACCATACCACCTGTTGGCCCCAAAGTGATGCATTTTCATCTGCCCATAGCTCTTATTCTCCCTTCTGTGGAGAAGGCCAAGGTGAGGCTTCCTGCCCAGGCTGGGGAGAAGGCCAAGGTGAGGCTTCCTGCCCAGAGAAATGAGTGAGGTGGTGGCAGAGCAGCCCAGCCTGCAGAGAAGATGAAGAACGTGCTGTAGAGAAGCAGCTGCAGACAGCATCAAGACCCAAGGAAGGGAGACCATGAAAGCCAAAGGCCAGCTCCACCCCTGTTTTAGGGGAAAGCTCGAGGGCTATGGGAGAGATACCCTGTCAAGTCCTTGGGTGATATCAGTCGACTGCGGTTCGAGTCCTGGACCTGGTGGCTTAAACTCATGCCGGGCGCGTGTGTGTGCGTACCCAAATCCTGGGAGGAGAATGGAGGAGAAGGGATTAGGGCATGGCCAGCCCCCTGGGGGGTGATTTCTCACTTTCTGTCTTTTTGGCGAGTGCACACACCCTATAGCAAAAACTTCCCCCTCCCCCCCAAAAAAGACAATTAAAAGGCAAGAGACACATGGCAGAGATTTTTAGATATATACACATGAAAGAGTTAAGTACTGCTTTACCTAAAGTAGTCAGAATAAGCAAACCTCTAAAAAGCAAAGGGAAAGTAAAATGGAACTGGGACATGGATTTATAAATGAAAGAATTAGAAATTTACTAATGAATGACTTTAAAATATATATTTGCACACATTAGTTACCAAAGAAACACAAGCCATAATTGCAATAACATACTTTGCTCTCGAATTTACAATTAAAACCTATTTACCATTCTTGTGAGAGCCTGAAAAAATGGACATTCATACATAGTAATGTGGATGGCAAATCTGAACTGGTACAAGCTTTATGGTAGCGTTTGGACTCTCATGTATCAATATCCTCAAGAAGCATTCATATGCCTAGACTGAATAATCCTACTTCTCAAAATCTTTTTCTCAAATATGAGGGTATATCTTTTTGTAGAAAATAGCAAAATTAGTACAGTCGTCAGAATGGTGATTTTTCACAAAATTAAACATAGAGAACAGCAGATGGCTGGTAATAATTACGTTGCTAGACTTCCACGTAGTCGACTATGGTTCAAGTCCTGGACCTGGTGGCTTAAAGCTCATGCCAGGCACATGTACATGCATACCCAAAATCCCAAGAGGAGAATGGAGGAGGAGGGATTGCAGTGTGGCCATTCCCCTTGTAGGGGAGTTATTTCTCACTTTCTCTCTCTCTCTGTCTCTCTCCTCTCCAGTGAGTGGCATGTGCCCTATGGCAAAAACCTTTAAAAAGTTATTTATTTAATTTTATTCATTATCATTATCTTACCTAATATTGCTATAGGGCATGTGTGCCCACCAAAGAGAGGGAAAGTGAGAATGCAAGCTGCCAGGCCTGGGATCCAAACCATGGTTGGCCATATGGTAATCCAGTTCCCCAACCACCATACCACCTGTTGGCCCCAAAGTGATGCATTTTCATCTGCCCATAGCTCTTATTCTCCCTTCTGTGGAGAAGGCCAAGGTGAGGCTTCCTGCCCAGAGAAATGAGTGAGGTGGTTGCAGAGCAGGCCAGCCTGCAGAGAAGATGAAGAACGTGCTGTAGAGAAGCAGCTGCAGACAGCATCAAGACCCAAGGAAGGGAGACCATGAAAGCCAAAGGCCAGCTCCACCCCTGTTTTAGGGGAAAGCTCGAGGGCTATGGGAGAGATACCCTGTCAAGTCCTTGGGTGATATCACTTGCAAAGGGATTGATGGGGCTTCCCTCTCAGATTACAGCTGTGGGAGACGTTAGTGACCCCCTCCCTAGCAAGGGTGACATTCGGAATGGTGCACACAAGATGGCCGTTGAAAAATGGCCGACATGGGGCCAATCCTATAGCTAGGGGGTCTGGATTCCACATGACTGTAAGCAGTGCGAATCTCAGCCCCACCAGCCTGAAAAGCATGCTGGATATATGTGTGTGCATGCTCCAAATCCTGATGGGACGGGGACATGGGGGAGCAAGGATTGTAGTATGCCCATGCCCCCACTGAGAGGTGCTTCCTGTCTTTCTTTTTCTGGCAAACACACATGCCCTCTAGCAATTAAAAAAGAAAGGCTGAAGCAGTCTTCAGGGCCTCAGCCTCTTCTGGTGTGGAAGGGAGAATGTAACCAGGTAGGCGTAGAGCTAAGGGGTGGGTACGACAAAGACTATAGCCATGCATGGGGACCACACACTTCAGCAGTACCGCTCCCCACCCCCAACCACTGCACCACCACCAGGGAGAAGGGAATGATGAAAGAGAGGTTGGGCCAGCTGGTGACGTGATGATTAAGGCGCCTGGATCCCACATGGCCACCTGTGCAGTTGGAGTCCCAGACTCGGGAGCTTGAGAAACATTCTGAGTGCACATGTGTGTGTGTGTCCAAATCCCAACGGGGGGGAGAAATGGAAGTGAAATTATGGCATGACCATGCACCACGGGGTGTGCTTTCTTACTTTTCTTCTCTCTCTCTTTGTCTCTGTCTGGCAAAATTTTAGAAAAAGAAGGAAGGGAGGAGAGGAGAGGAGAGGAGAGGAGAGGAGAGGAGAGGAGAGGAGAGGAAAGGAAAGGAAAGGATAAAGAAGGAAGGAAGTGAGGGAGGGGGGGAAGGAGGGAGAGAGAGAGAGAGAGAGAGAGAGAGAGAGAGAGAGAGAGAGAAAGAAAGAAAGAAAGAAAGAAAGAAAGAAAGAAAGAAAGAAAGAAAGAAAGAAAGAAAGAAAGAAAAATAGAGGCATCTTCAACTCACGATTTGAGGTCTAAGGTTCAGGGGCCAATTCTGGAGAGGCTATGACATGGTTGAGAACAGTCTTCCCTTGACCACATGGGCCCTTCTCTAACTACCAAATCCCACCTAAAGTCCCCATCTTGGGACGCCATGGAGGGATCAAGTTTTCATTTCATGCCTTCACAATACAACCAAGTCCCTACACATGAATTAAGAGGGGACATGTGCACTACAGCACGAATCACAAAATCTTCAAATTCTGTAGTAACTGTCTGTTGCTTCCTCATACATTATTCCAAATCTTAACAGCTGAAAATAAGAAACATATTTCTCTCATACACTTTCCGCGGGTCAGGAATTTACAAACGACTTGGCAGGGGGGGCTTGGCTTGAGAGTTCATGAGATTGCAGCCAGGATGTTGGCCATGGCTGCCTCCATCTGAAGGCTCGCCTGGGCTGGAGCCGCTGATTCCAAGACATGTCTGCCAAGCTGGTGCTGGCTGTTGGTGGGAGGCCTCGGCTCCTCACCTCATGGGGCTCGGCTCCTCCTCTCCGTAAGGCTGCCGGAATGTTCTTGTGGCCTGATAGGTGGCTTCCTCCAGAGTAAGTCACCTGAAAGGTCAAGGCAGAGCCTCAATGTCTCTTTCTTTTTCTTTTTTGAGAGAGATTTTTGTTATAGAGCACATGCACTCACCTGAGAGACAGAGAGAGGCAGAAAGACAGCAAGAAATCACCCCCAGGGTGTATGGCCATGCCACTATCCCTTCTCCTGCATTCTCCTCTTAGGATCTTGGGTGCGCATGCACATGTGCCTGGAGTGAGTTTTAAGCCACTGGGTCTGGGACTCGAACCGCAGTTGACTACGTGGGAGTCCAGCGACATAGCCATTATGCTAATTGCTGGTCCCCTCAATGTCTTTGATGACAAGCCTGTCTTGGAAGCCTCTCCCCCATGTGATCTGCGCTCTTGGGTTTATGTATTGGAGGGTAGATCTGAGGGCCGAACAAGGTGATGTGTGGCTTTCTGAGGACAGAGTTGGGCACTCAGAGGATTCCTGAGACTAGGCAGCAGAGCCCCAGCCCCCTCAGCCTGCCGGGAGTGGCTCTTCCTCACAGAAGGTGTCCTGGTACCTCCAGACTGGAGAGCTGAAGGAGCCTTTAGGGGTCTGGCCAGGTGAGGGGCTGGTTCTGACCACTGGGCAACTGAGTGTGTGGAGTGCGCAAAGGTTATTGTGAGACTGGAGAGAGATGCTGGGGGGCTCCCAGAGGGAAGGTGGAGTGCGGGCCCCCAAGGGACTTAGAAGTGAGGCAAGTGGGGAGTGGGCAAGTGAGGGACAGGGCTCAGAGACGGAGAGGGAGTCAGAAAGTCCAGGGCCGGGCCACATGGTCCTCTGCTTGGCCAGGGTAGCATTTTTCTAGACTCATCCATGGGCACGAATTGATGGAATGATGTATTGATTTATTTATTCTTGCGTGCCTGCCAGGTGCTGGAGGCTACAGGTCCCTGTCCTCAGCAAGCTTGCAGCTTAATGTGGAGGTGCCATTGGTGAAGTGTGACGAGGGCGGTGACAGACGGGAGGCCCAGGGACCCCATGTGCATGGCAGCTGCCTTGCTGGGAGAGGGCTGGGAGGCAGTCAGGAGGTGAGGTCAGAACTGCGTCTTGAAGGAGAGAAGGAAAAAGTTAAGCCAGAGAAGACGCTGTAGGCTGACAAAAGAACCCGAACCAGCGAGTGCACAGGCAGAGGTGTGACAGGTGTGACGCAGCATGCTGGCAGGGCAGGAGCGGGGTGGCTGCCGCGGGAGAGTGTTGAGAGATGGAGCTGGAGGGACCAGAAGAGGTGCAGCTCTGCTAGGGGTGGGGTGGTTTGGATTTCTTCCAGAAAACAACAGACAAATTATGCAGGAATTTGAGCAGAGGCATGAAGGGACCAGCTTCACAATTTAGCAAGGCTGTGGGGGTGCAGGGAGGATGGTGGGGAAGGAATGCAGGAGGAGAGAGCAGTGGCCCAGGCCATGCCTGAGGAGTAGGTGCAGGGGCAGCAAGGGGAGAGCACATCTGCGAGAGGTTTAGAAAGTGGAGTGGCCCTGGTCAGGCCTAGAGACTGCTGGGCAGCCCATCCCAGCTCATCTCGGATGGACTGTCAAAGTCAGGTCCTAGACTGACAGGTCTCAGCCCAGCAGCGCAGTCCCAGCCAGTCCCAGCCCTGAGGTGCTGCCCTCATCCCGGACCTCATCCCTGACGGGCGCTCAGCCTTGCAAGAGCACAGCCTTCACCCAGATGGGAAACCCTGAGCAGAACTGGCAGGCCCCTCAGGAGCAGAGAGGGCTGTCCCCTGGGCTGGGGTCAATGAGCTGGAGACAGAGACCTGCGCCCTGTGGGGTGGGCAAGTAGCCACATGGGGTTCCAGAAAGCAAGGAGGAAATATGCACCTGGTCGTCCACCTGAGAGGCAGCTAGGGTGCTGGGGGATAGCCCACCCAAAGTCTACCAACCCCATAGCCCCACACAGAGGCTGTGACCCTTGAGGTGGGAGTTACCCCACCCTTGAAAGGACCTGGCTGTGCTGCTCCCTCCCCACAGCAGGTGGCGCCATCGCGCTGGGATCAGACAGAGGGGCCTGGGAGCAGGAGGGAAGGACCAGAACCTGCCAGGGAGGGCACTCCAGCCCTGCTCCCCCAGGACCTGCTGCTCCTTGGGCCCCCGCCAGTGCCTCCCTGCTCCAGTCCCTCCTGCCCACCTGTCAGCCTCAACCCCAGCTCTCCCTGCCTCTCTCCTCTGTCCTGTGCCACCCTCCCTCCCTGACTTCAGCTGGGGTCCTCAGAAGCCGGCTCACGAGCTGGCATCATCACAGGATGGGGGACTCCAGGTCTAGCCCATGGGATGCGTTTGCAGGTGGATGTTCCTGTAGGGTCTCCTCTGAGCAGCCCCAGCTCCGAGGGCTTTCCCAGGGGACGGGGTTCCAAGACAATCGCTAGGGGCATGGGGGGCTTTCTATTGAATGACAGAGGAACTACTTCCCTCTCTCCAGAAGCCTCTACCCCCTCATCTCTGGTCTACAGCCAAGCAGGACCCAGGGAGCCCAGGGGCCAGCTGGGCCTCCCCCATCCTCCTGGTGCCCTTTCTCCCCTAGTTCTTCCCTTTTTGTCCTGAGAACTGGGCCCTCCTCATGGGGATCCCCCCGCCCACGTCGGATAGATCTGGCCCTGGTGACGGCAGAGCTGGCCTAGGCCGTGTCCCGGGGAGGAGTGGCCGCAGGGAGTGCAGCGAGAATGAAGCCCGGATGCTCGGACAGGAGGTCCCGTAGAAAGAGCAAGTGAGGACAGGTGTCGTCAGGGGAACTTCCCAAGGGACCCCAGAAGAGCCAAAGTTGGGGGGTGGAGTCCCAGGGCAGAAGCTTCTATTCATCAGCAGGTTTCTTATCACACAGAGAGAGGGGAGGCGAGTTCTCAGGCATCCCGGGCAGTCTGTGGGAGGGAGGCTGAGCTGGCAAGGCTGGCTTAGGGTCCATACTTGTGACGGAAGTTTCCGACTGATGTGAAAGTCTTGAGCTGTAGCCTGCGGGAAAGTGACTCCTTGCCTGATTGGTGGCCGAGGGTGGCATTGCTGGGAGGACTTCCTGGAGGAAGGAGATACAGGTGAAAAGAGGGGGAGGTTTCCAGGATGATGGGAACGTTGTAAGGATAGGCACCAAGAAGAACCAAAGTTGGGGGGTGGTATGGGGAAAGTTGGGGAGACGCTAAGGGCCTAGCATACAGAAGACACAAAGATTTTGTAACAAAGTGTGGGAATAAAGGGGATGGAAGGAGGTGCCAAGAGCTGCTCCAGAGACAGGCACACACCCCTTCTGGTAGTTGCAAAAGCACCCCGATTTAGGGAGCAACTCAGTGGACCCTCATCCTACCAGCCTCTACCCTAAGCTTGCTCACAAACATGAAGGTGGGGCTTAAAAACCTCACCCCTTTGGCCCCCTCTTCCAGGGCCCATCTCTACCCAGGTACTTGCTGGGCAGCAGCTACCCCAGCTTCCTGCTGCAGATGGGGTGTTTGTCACCCCGAGGTGACTGAACAGCTGTAACCCCCACCAAGATGGCAGCTTACCCAGACAGGGGGCCTTTGTCTGGTCCTGACCCTGTGGGAGGCCCGGCCATGGCCTGAGTTTGCTCAGTGTTAATTATTGACCAGGTGCCCAGGGACAGGGCCCCTCTGGCCAGCTGGAAGGAGGACACAGGGCTAAGGCCTTGGCCTCCCACAGTATCCGGTGGGGCTCACCTGGGGCCAGTGAAGGGCACAGGTCTCAGGGAGACTCAAATGCCTTCCCCACTGCCCTCAAACCCAGTGGCACCTCAAGCCCAATTGTAGAAAGTGCCCAGCCTGAGTGGCTGAACACTCTGGGTTGGGAATGTCCTCATATTGACCCTCAGAAGGACAGAGAGAGGGAGGAGAAAACAGGAAGGGGGTGGGGGATGGAGAGGTGTGAGAGTCTCTAAGGAGTACATAGCTGGACACTTAGACCCAGTGACGCTGTCCTCAGCAACAGGTGGCCATAGAACCCCCACACACACCCTTCTGGGGCCCCTGGTGGAAAATTTCAGCCTAGAGTGTGTTTGGGGGCAGTGACTCATTCTGAACCGGAGGGAAGAGCATGAGACCCTCACCCACCCCTGCCTGGCCTGACCAACAAGGGCTTCCAAGGAAGGGGACAGAGCCAGTGAGAGAGTGAGAGAGGGTGAAACCACGTACGGGGAGGACCAGCTCCCAGTGCTGGGGATCAGCCCACGTCATCGTCCGTGATCGTCCTGAGCAGCCCGTGAGCCGGTGCTGTTACCAGTCATTGTACAGATTAGGAAACGGAGCCCCGGTCACAGAGCCAGGAAATGCAGGGCAGAGGCAGCCTGAATCCAGACCCATGACCTGCACCACTGTTATCTGTAGGGGTCAGGGGGAGGGGGGAGCAGGGAGGGGAAGGGGCCCCATGTGCAGGGGATTGCAGAGGTGAGTCCTAGGGAGCCTGGACCCCTGCTTACAGAATGCCTCTGAGGTAGATGCGGGTGGGAATCCAGCCTCTTCAGATAGGAAGCCTGATCCCCAGGATTCTCCACAGGGACTGCCCATGGGTGTCGGGTGAGTGCTGTCTCAGGAGCCTCCTAGGCCTGCCCCCAACCCCGGCTTTCCTTGTGAGAAGTCAATATTGATGTTTTACAACCCAGGATAAACACACCTTTTTTTCCTCCCATGGAGGGGTTATCTGGTCTGGAGGGTTAATGAGTGACCACTTGGGGGTGGGGGGTGCTGTGAGAAGAAAGCAGCTATTCAATCCAGTCCCTGCGGCTCAGCCTCTCCCTCTCCCTCCCCCACACCTCCTTCGCACCCCCAGAGTGGGTGACTGGCTCTGCCATTGAGGTAGGAGTCCCTGGGGCGTGATTGGAGGGCCGTTCAGTGCAAGGCTTCAGAGGAGAGCGTCTCTGAGCAGGCACACCCTGGGAAGTGTTGGCAGGCAGGCGTGTCTGCCCGTGGCTGCCGGGCCCCACCAGGTTAGGCATGCAGGGAGAGAAGACACAGTTCATGTCGCAGAGCACACGCAGGTGACCCAAGATGACATGGGCTTCTCCTCTCACGGGCAGGGCATGGGAGTCCGCCTCTTGCGCTGTGCGGGCTTGGACAGGTGGCTTAACGTCTCTGGGCCACTGATGTCTCATCCCTCCTCTAGGGTGGTTTCAAGAATTGAGTGAGGGCTTGTATTAAGCAAGGAGAAAATAGAAACTAGAGAGACTATAAAATTCAAACGGGCTCTAGCCTCCTCTGCCTTCTGTGAGCAGAGCCTAATTCGTCTCTGGGATTGGTGGCCCTTTTGCCAAACCACAGAAATGGGCCTTTGGGAGCGGGTGGGAATAAGAGCGTCCCTCCTCAGGGAAGAGAGGCCAGAAGCACATACTGAGAGGCACAGACAGGACCAATGAAGGAACACTGCCCGAGAGACAGTGAGAGATTCCCTGTGGTGGGAGCATGTGACGTACCTGGGGACACGGTGTGCAGCCTTGAATTTGAAGTCCTTTTCAGCTTCTATAAGCACCCTCCACTGCTCCTGAATTTGATGGAATGTTTACCACGCGCAAGAGCCTTGGGTGCAGGGCTGACCGGGAAGAATGATGGAGGGGACCCGCACTGGCTTAGAGAAAGGCAGGGCAGGGAGAGACAGTAGGGCCAGAGCTGAGAGCCACGGTGAGGAGCAGTGACCTCAGACAGGCACACTGAGGCGAGTAACCGAATGCCCACCTCCAAGACCCCGGGGATATCAGGGTGTGGGAGGAGGTTCCAGAGCTGCACAACTTGAGGTCACAACGGCCAGAGACACAGAAGAAGGGACCTTGAGAACATCGATCGTGTTACCAATGTCCATTACGGTGGGCTGGGTTCGGCTCTGGTAACATGGAAGTTGAGCATACATTCACCTGCCCTGGATTCCTGGTGGGACCTGTGGGTGACGAAGATGGTAAGACGTGGTCCTTGCCCCTCCAAGAATTCTCTCAAGGGCACATAGACAGGTAGAAATGACTAAGTGTCTCCCTACAGCCGTTCCTCCCGTTTTTCCCACTATGGTGGCGTCTCCAAGCTTTTAGCTGGGTACACGTGGCCCAGATTAAAGGCTGCGTTTCATGGCCTCCCTTGCAACTAGGCGTAGCCAAAATGCCCATGCTTTAGCCAAAGGGAGGTGAACAGGAGGTACACATGCAAGGCCTAGATTGCATACTCCCCTCCCCTTCCCCCTGCCTGTTCACTGGAGTGAGAACCTGGGGGTGAGCCACATCGAACTACATGACCGAGGACCACGTCCCCTGAGTCCTGACAGTTTGGCAGAGCGGAGCCACCAGGTCAGCTCAGACTCTCACGTGGAAGATAACACGTCCATCTCGTTTAAGCTACTGTTAGGCTTGGTCTTCCAGGTACCACTGCCAAAGTCTATGCCATAAGAAATGTAGATGCCTGGAAGTAGGGTGCTGTCCTACATGATTCTCATAGACGTGGCATTGGCTTCGTAGTCGGGGGGAGCAGGTGCAGACCGCAGACTGGAAAGTGGGTGAGCCTCAGTATGCTCCGGCCAGAGATTTAGTGAGCCTCTCTGTGCTGCTCTGGCAGGAAGGCCAAGTGTTCGCTGAGCCTGCTGCTCTGGGAAAGTTTAAGAATTGGTGCGTTCTAGCTATTTCTTCCTGCTTTCAGCAGATTCTTAGAAAAGAGAGGTGAGGCAGAGAACTCAGGTTAGACCAGGCCCGTCTGCAAGAGAGAGCTGCTGCTTGCAATCAAGGCTGATTGAGTCTCGTGATTTGGAGCTGCGAAGAGCTGTAAAAGCCAGCTGCTTCTGTATCCCAGATGGAAGCGGTGACCTGAGTTGGCTCTGCAAAGGCAGCCTTCGTAGGAGTTTCGACTGTGGCCCTGAGCCTTTCTCAGACTTTCCAGTTAAGAATTCTCTGCCAGACAATGGGAGCAAGCCCAGGAGCCAAGATCAGATTAAGGGTGTTCCCTTTCCACCCAAGCCTATTGTCTCAGATAGCCTGGAGATAACAGGATTCAGCTCAGAGAGGGGTCTGGGCAGAGCACAGAGACCAGGAAAAAAAGTATATACCACCTCTTTTCAGGCTGAGGAACTCTGTCAGGACAGAATTTTTGGCTGGAGTTACATGGACATGGAACCGACTAGAAACAAGTTAGTCTGGAAGCCCGAGAGAAGCATGTTCTTCAATGCCCACTTCAGGTCTCTAGTAATTATGGAGGAAAAGAACCTTGTAGGAGCCTCTCAGAGGGCAAGGAGGACACTGAACAAGGGAGTTGCTGCCAAAAAACAGAAGAGCGAGGAGTCTTTATACCTTCTAACTAGCATCTCTTGGTAATTGCTATGGAACAGAGCCATTTGTGTAGTTCCCATTGTTTTATGTTCCAAATAAGTTGTTGTTTTTCTTTTTCATTGTGGTATATAGCTCTTGTTTCATCAGTATGTGTTGGAGAAGGGTGGGGCACCAGCAGTTGGCGTAATGGCTATGTTGCTAGACTCCCATGTGGTCGAGTCCCAGACCCAGTGGCTTAAACTCACGCCGGGCATGTGTGTGTGCGTGCCCAAGATCCCGGGCTGCTGCTCTGGGAAAGTTTAAGAATTGGTGCGTTCTAGCTATTTCTTCCTGCTTTCAGCAGATTCTTAGAAAAGAGAGGTGAGGCAGAGAACTCAGGTTAGACCAGGCCCGTCTGCAAGAGAGAGCTGCTGCTTGCAATCAAGGCTGATTGAGTCTCGTGATTTGGAGCTGCGAAGAGCTGTAAAAGCCAGCTGCTTCTGTATCCCAGATGGAAGCGGTGACCTGAGTTGGCTCTGCAAAGGCAGCCTTCGTAGGAGTTTCGACTGTGGCCCTGAGCCTTTCTCAGACTTTCCAGTTAAGAATTCTCTGCCAGACAATGGGAGCAAGCCCAGGAGCCAAGATCAGATTAAGGGTGTTCCCTTTCCACCCAAGCCTATTGTCTCAGATAGCCTGGAGATAACAGGATTCAGCTCAGAGAGGGGTCTGGGCAGAGCACAGAGACCAGGAAAAAAAGTATATACCACCTCTTTTCAGGCTGAGGAACTCTGTCAGGACAGAATTTTTGGCTGGAGTTACATGGACATGGAACCGACTAGAAACAAGTTAGTCTGGAAGCCCGAGAGAAGCATGTTCTTCAATGCCCACTTCAGGTCTCTAGTAATTATGGAGGAAAAGAACCTTGTAGGAGCCTCTCAGAGGGCAAGGAGGACACTGAACAAGGGAGTTGCTGCCAAAAAACAGAAGAGCGAGGAGTCTTTATACCTTCTAACTAGCATCTCTTGGTAATTGCTATGGAACAGAGCCATTTGTGTAGTTCCCATTGTTTTATGTTCCAAATAAGTTGTTGTTTTTCTTTTTCATTGTGGTATATAGCTCTTGTTTCATCAGTATGTGTTGGAGAAGGGTGGGGCACCAGCAGTTGGCGTAATGGCTATGTTGCTAGACTCCCATGTGGTCGAGTCCCAGACCCAGTGGCTTAAACTCACGCCGGGCATGTGTGTGTGCGTGCCCAAGATCCCGGGAGGAGAAGGGATTGCCATGTGGCCATCCCCCCCGGGGGAGGGGAGTGATTTCTTGCTTTATGTCTTTCTCTCTGTCTTTCCAGCGATCGTACACCCCTATAACAAAAACCCCTCCAAAAAAAAAAAAAAAAAGAGAGAGAGAAGGGTGGGAACAGATAACTTGCTATTCAGTGGGTCGGTCTCCAGGATGTAGGTAGGCAGATGCCGAAGTTATGGTATGTGACGTTGTTTCCCTCGAGAGCTAAAGTTTTGCGTGTTGTGTGTGAAAAGAAGGGTGATCACAGATAATTGGATGGCTAAAGGGGTGTCCTGTAGAAGATGCATTCACCCCAAGACCCACTTTTTCCCCCTTGTCTTTCCTAGTAGAACAACTCTTAATAGCGAAGTACACAGCCAGCCAGAATAAAACTGCATTCCCAGTCTTTCTCGCAGTTTGTCGTGGGTATAACTAAGTCTGGCTAATGGGATGGTACAAGTTCTGGATCATACTCTAAGAAGTCGAGGGGCACTCTCACCTTCCCTTGTCCCCTGTCCCGATGGCTGCCAGGCAGACATGTTGGAGCCCATGTTGCACCACGCCTGTGAGAGCAAACCTTAAGGGTGCCAGAGCACAAAGACAGGAGAAACGGAGAACCCAGCCACGCTGCAGAGCCGAGTAAGCATGCCGGTGAGGACTTTCACGAAAGAGAAACACACTTGTTGCTATAGTTTGAATATGTCCTCTCAAAGTTCATGGGTGTGAAACTTAACCCCCAATACAACAGTGTTGAGGGACCAGCAGGTGGCGTGGTGGTTAGGGCGTTGGACACTCCCACATGGCTGACCCCAGTTAGAGTCCCGGACCTGACAGCTTACTTGCTCACTTTCTCTCTCTCGCTTTCTCTCTGTGTGTCTCTCTCTCTGGTCAAATTAAAATGAATGAATAAATTTAAAAAAATTTTTTTAAAAGAATGATGTCCCCAGAAAATTCAAAATAAATAAATAAATAACAACAGTGTTGAGTGGTGGGACCTTTAAGAGGTGACTAAGTCATGAAGGCTCTGCCCTCCTGAGTGGATTAATGCCGTTCTGGTGGAGTAGGTTCCTCGCAAAGGATTGCGTTCGTCTCCTTTCCAACTTCTCTTACCACTTTCGTGCTCTCCTGCCTCTGCCATGGGCTGATGCAGCAAGAAGGCCTTCACCAAATGCCACTGCCTTGGTCCTGGACAATGCAGTGAGCGATTGTTGCAGGGCGATGGGATGCAATGGGGTGCAGTACCGTGGGATAAATGTTCCAGTAGGGTACACGCATGGTGCTGTAGGGACACAGTGAAAGAGTGACTCCTTCCGTCTAGGGGAGGGCTGGGAGGTCTTCCAAGATGGAGTAATAATTGAAATAAGTCTTGAAGGATGAGAGACTTTTCCAGACACACAGTTAAGATGAGCAGAGAGAACACACTTGACAGTTGGAACAGTTGGAGCAAACGCTCAGAGTGCTAAAAATACTTCAGGACTGGTCCTGAGGTATAAAGGGAGGGGTGGTCCTGGGAGATGGGCCCTATAAAGGCCCTTGAATGTCAAGCTGTGGTGTTTAGACTTTACCATGTGGAACCTCTGAAGAGTTTAACAGGGAAGTAACATGATCTGATTTTTTTTTTAAGAGAAGTTTGGCAATAGTGTATGAGACGTATTTGAGAAGAGGAAGCCTGGGAGCAGACAAAAGGAACTATGTGAATGTAGCGTGTTGATTCTGACTTACCCACAGAAAACAGTATTATAATAGCGGGTTACGTTCCTGGCTACAGGCCTGATGCACAGATTTTTATGAAGCTGACCACAAAACCAAACTCTAGTAGCTATAAAGGTGCAGCCGTAATCTACATCATGAAGTTTTCTAAGTAGTACACGAATAACTAAGTAGGGCCACACAGTGACTGTATTGGCCTGGGTTCTCCTAAGAACCAACAGAATAAATACATAGATCAAAGGGATTTATTATAGGCATTATCTCACGTGATCACAAGGTAGAGAAGCTCCACAATAGACTGCAAGCTGAAGAAAGCTAAGAGACTCTGAAGCAGAGAAGGTGGGGGGGTGCAGTTCCATTTTAAGGCCCGAAGGGGCCCCTCAGAAGGCTGCAGGTTCAAGTGT